AAGCAAAATTTTGATGAATAACTATAACTATAATTTATAGAATTCCTAATTTTTTATTTTTAACATTGAAGAAAAAGATCTAATTATTCGTAAATTATCAATATATCGACATACACACTTCAAGTTTTTGAATAATACATAATATTTGATTGTATAATATTTTCTCTAATTTACATTTTATATGTCGTAAAAATAAATTTTGTGTATACATTTTGAATACAATAAATATTTAATGTGTCAGTATACATTTGTCTTATTGTTATATCAATTATTTTCAAATAATTAGTGTTGTAAAAATTATTTTAAAAAAATATATATATAAAATATATCTCATTTTTAATAGATATTTTTAAAAAATAGTTTTTTCGTCATATTATTAATAAGTACTTTTTACTAATTTATCCACATAAACATAAAATTATTATTATACAATCGTATCAAATTGTTCGATTAAATTTAATATATAATTAATTATAATTATTGCATTGACTTACCAGCTGTAATCGCAATGTAATTTCACTCAATACTTTTTCTCGGCACTTTTGAAATTCCTGTATATGTAGTGGTTGGCATCAGGGACGTGTAAACAAAAACCAAAACTTCACATTCGCAACATTTTATTCGCGTAATCGCCTAAATAATAGATATTTTATACAGCACTTCCGACAATCTGTAAACTTTCCGTACTTTATATTATTTATCATTATTCAATATTTATATTAAAACACAATATAATGATAATGGTATAATCGCCCTTTTTTTCAAAACTTACGAATGTTTCGCTATTTGACGACCAATAAACATACAATCCGCGAGAGGTTAATTACCCAATTATTAATACGTTCATCGAAAGAGAAAAATAGTCTCCGTAAAATATAATTCATGCATTAAAATATTTATCGCTGTCCTTCGCAAAGTATTATATTTATTCTCGATACAATCAAGATGATATCTTTTTTTCAATATTTTCGAAATTTTTATCTACGCGTAACGACAAATTAACATAATGATATTTAATAAGTAACAAAAACGCGAAGTTCGCACGCCTCTCGCCAAAGCGTTACCACTTTAAGACCGACGCAACTCTAATTGCAATCGCATTTATTCGTCATCTATCAAATATTAATTAATCAAATATTAATTCTTAATTAAACTGATATTTAAAAGATAATGCATTTGTTATATAATCATTCAACATCTTTTTCCAAAATTCATGAATATGCAACGATTGCCATTTGATAATTAATGGACAATAACGGATAATAAACACACGAAAAGTTAATTATACAATTATTAAACGCTCGTAAAAAATACAATTTCTGAAAATTCTCCGCTAAATATGATCAACATATTGAAATATTGTGCTATCATTCGCAAGGTACTTATTCTCGACATGATTACGATGATTTTTCCGATATTTTTCTTCGACACCCCCGAAATTTACTTATGCATGACGATAGACATTCAGCGATTAATGGAAATATGTTAAAAGGATTTACACGCCAAACGTGACAGAACGTTACTAATTCAGGACAAAACGCTTACTGATTGCAATTGCGTTTATTTGTCGTTAATTAGATATTGATTTTTGTAAAAATTTATGTTAAATTATAATTTATATTAAAATACGATGCATGCGCTAAATACTTTTTCACGAAATTTGTATACATATATGTAATGATTGCCACTCAGTGACCAATAAATAATATGTAAAATGTATAAAGGAAAATATAGAAGTACAAATATACTTACAAAATTTTTAGATTTTCTTCTACTTGCTTATTCTCCCAATAGAAATTTGTGCTTTCTATATAATTTAACAAACAATAACTCACATATATCGTCCGATATGTTTATAAAATTATTGCATCGATTAAATCAACATTAAAAGTAGAAGTTAAATTTTTTACAACTTTAACTATTGTTATTTGTTAAATTACTGTCGTCCTAGAGACCGCGTCTCTGGAGTGTATGTGAAATATTTCGAAATAATAATAATAAAAGTATTTAATTAAGGAATCATATAAATAATAGTTCATTATTTCGATGTTTCGTGGGGAGTGAGCGATTGTTCAAATGTATAACTATTAAAAAATTATTACAAAATCGAGTCCTGGAAAGCCGAACGGCGAGTACGCTGCCTGATGGTGCTCAGCACTCACGGAGCTATCATTGGCGGCGTCGCATGTTTTTTTATAAAATGCATATTTCCACAAATTTTTAATGAATCGATCTGAAAATTTCCAGAAACCTTCCTTCAACAGTGAGGAACAAATGTCTCACTGGAGGTTGTTTCAAATTTCAAGTTCTCTCGATACTTATTGTCGGCGAAACTAAAAAAACGTGGTACCGACTGGCCTCAATTTGCAATTAATTATTATTAAACAATAGGCGATTTTCAGCTTCTTTATTGTTTTGTAGGCATCGCTAGACTATACTGCATGCGTATACCAAATTTCAAACAATTTCAACAAAATTTGGCCAAATTACGATTTATACCTTAAAATCTTATTGAATTTAGGGATAAAAATTTTTCAGTTTTTTATTTTTATTATTAAAAATAAGCATCGAACAAAAAAACTGCAAATAGAAAAAAGTTTTGTCTCGTCATTCTCTACAAGCCTATATTTAAAAAAGATTAATTTTGCAACTTTCAAAATTTTTATGCTCTGAGACGTTTGGACAACACTTTTACACGATTTCGAGCGCAGAGCGAGTTCTTTGATCCGCGCCCTCAATTGGCGACGGACACCATTAATGCCGGTACTGTACATGTACATAATTGTATTAAATACAAATATAAATATATTAATTACGAAAATCTGTAGAAAAATTAAGAATTATCATAATCATTAACAAATCACTTGAATTGACTGTCTTCCAATTGCAAAATTTAATGACATAATTATTAATAGGTACCTTAATCCTAAATGTAGAAAAATTTTTTAGTGTATATGCAATTCATATACTTTTACACGGGAAAAAATAATTTCTTCCTAGGTTTAGCTGCATTTTCTACGGTTCTGTTGATTCTTGTTGTTCAAATTTGGGATATTTTGCCTCTACTTCTATCCAAGTAGTCCTTCCATATGAAAGATCTCTTACTACACCAGGCAGTTCGTCGAGCTATAATTAAAAATTCCATATTAAATACAATAATTTAAAAATTGAATTTATTTTATTTAATATCGACAATTATTAAATTATTTTTCTTTTGCCAAGTTATGAAAAATTTCTATACATATATGCAATACAAATATCATATACAGGGTGATTCTTATAAGGTGACCGACGTGATTATCTGTGAAGTTTGAAGTCATATTGAAAAATTTTTCAAACAAAAGTTGTATGGTTCGAAGAGGGAAAAAAGATAGGGATATTAGTTTGACCTCAAGAAGCACTTCAAAGATTTGAAGATTATCGTCATTTTTTTAAATAAAACTAGTCTAATTTTTTTATATAAATCGATTTCTCACAATATTCAGCGTAAAAAATTATTAGGGTAAGATGGCCAAAAATTGAATAGTTTACAAGATATTTTATACTTTAATTTGACATTATTTTATATAAACTATGAAATATCTCGTTAAATATTCAATTTTTTAATTATTTTATCTCAACACTTTTATGTACAAAATAATGAGAAGAATCAATTGGTGTAAAAAAAAAATATACGTATAATATAAGTATAGTAAGTAGTATATATATATATATATATATATATATATATATATATATATATATATATATATATATTATATTATTATTATTATTATATACTATATATAAAAATAATAATAAGTAAGTAATAATAATATATATATATATATATATATATATATATATATATTATATATATATTTTTTTTTTTACACCAATTGATTCCTCTCATTATTTTGTGCATAAAAGTGTTGAGGTAAAATAATGTATCATGTATCATAATGTATCATGTAAGAATCATGCAAATGTACATACATTTATCCGGACTTGTCCCATGCTGTCTCTGTCCCTGAGTGTTGCACTGTGCGGCGTCTTCAAGGTGTCGAAATCAATAGTAATACCGAATGGTATCGCTATTTCATCAGTACGAGCATATCTACGTCCTATGCTGCCAGAAGAATCATCCACTTTATGTGAAACATCTGCCTTGGTAAGATTTTCCGCTGCAAATAAAAATTTATATTAACACACATTTAGTTCCATAGAATATTTTAAATCTATCGTCTATTTCAAATATGAATACTAGAAACGAAACAATACAAATTAATGTTTGTTCTATTATTGGAACATCAGTATTATATAATAATTAAGTTTGTGATTTGCTTACATAATTCCTTTACAAACGACACGAACTCATCATTTCCACTGAGCGGTAAAACTGAACACTTTAATGGTGCTATTATTGGTGGCAAGGCAAAATATGTCCTCTTCTCGTCACCTTCTCTCGTCCGGAAGTTGTGCTCAAACAGAGCATACATGATACGACCAATGCCAAAGGAAGGTTCAATTACCGAAGGTATAATGTCTTCTACATGAACGATTTTTTGATATCGCTTCACTTCTATCATATCCTTAGTAATCTTCACAACAGTATCATTGGGCAGTACTAACTCCTGTTCTCCATTCTCATTAAGAATTTGCTCCAACGATACAATTTCATTTTCACCTAATGCCGCTAGCGCATCTTGAACAGCTTTGCTATCCTTCTTAAACGTTTTGCCAATCAACACTTTATTCGGCACAATTTCGCAAACGTCCACTGTTTTTGGAGCAGGCAATTTTTTTTCCGCTACCAATTTAACACCGGTAGCTTTGGTATGCTGCGTTAAATCGTAAGCGGAGCGGTCAGCACAACCTACGCACTCTATCCACCCATAAGAGGTCAAGCATTCAGCGTCCCAACAGTCACAAGCGTAATGCGCCATTTCGTTACTCATATGTTGACGAAAACGTAAACGGTTTGAATCAATGCCGACCTTCAGCAAAAATTGATAAATTCTGGCCATGAAATAACCCAACGTTTCATTTGCCACCAACCCAGATGAGACAGCCTCTCCTATGGTAACACGTTGAGCGCTTTTGCCGTCCATCTGATTGCAAGCCGAGTACAACAGCATACTTGTATTCTTGATCGTCTCAAACTTGGAATGACTTTTGTCATTTGGATCGCAAAAATGCTCGATTTCCGCCATAGTGAACTCCCGGACACGTATGAGCCCGGATCGTGGCGAGATCTCATTCCTGAAAGCGTTGCCAATTTGTGCAGCAGCAAATGGCAATCGCTCCTGATTAAATGCCAGTAATCTTTTGAAATTCACGAAGATACCTTGAGCTGTTTCAGGTCTCAAAAAACCTTTTATAAGCCCCGATGGGCCGATCTGTGTGCCGAACATCAAATTGAATTCTATTGGTTCCGTCAAGTCGTTACCAGAAACAGGCGATTTCATATTATATTTCAACAGAACTGCGTTCATCTCGTCCTTTGTCATACCATCCAGCTTGATGATAATATCTCTACACTCCTCACGCGTTTTTTCGTTCGTTTTCTTGTCACAAATTACTTTTTCTAAATGTGCCTTAATCAAATGATCCAGCCGAAAGCATTCACCGGTCTTCACATCCTTTACCATTAAATCAGCAAACCGTTCTACGTGGCCAGACGCCTTGAGCACCGCCTCTGGGGTCAAAATAGAGCAATCAACTTCCAGCATCTGTTCCGCCAACACAAAGAAGTTTCTCCAGGCTTGTATCAAGTTTGTCTTTAACGAACAACCCATGGGTCCAAAATCATATTGACCAGTAATACCGCCGTAAATCGCAAAAGATTGATCCAGGAAGAATCTACGTTTCAAGAGATCTTCCATTCTTGCTCTGTCAAATGTTACATTGTTAGAAGCAAGTGATAGTTCTTTATCTTCCAGTACCTTTTTACGTAGTTTTAATTCAGCAACAGCCTTTTTTATATCTAACTCTGGAGCACCATCAGATTTCAGTTTTCGTACATAATCACCCTGTAAAAAATAATCAGTTATATTTCAAGAAAAAATGGTATATTACTCAAGAAAATAAATGTTGGTAAAATATCACTTTATCGTTCTCTATAAAATACATCTGCTTATCAGAAAAGCAAATATAATTTTTAATCTTTAATAATTGTACTTATTGTAATATATAATATTTATTTTAGTCAATGGACAAAACATGTCCAAACAAATTTTAATGTTTTGTAGATATTTTATTTCAAAAAATTCTAATTCTCATTAAAAAATAATTAGAAGGCTATATATAGATCTATGCAATATATTAATGTCAATTTTAAAGATATGAATATTTATTATTTATTTTACAAAATTTTCAACATTTAAAGCATTATCCTTGACCAAAGGTCAAGCATTCTGCTAAGAAATTAATATTAACAGTAGTAGTAAAAGTTTCAAGACACAATTTCTACTTTGTATCCATATGGCACTCACCTGTTCTTTAACTCTTGCACGAAGTGGTGCAAGAGTTTCCTCGATTTTAGAATCCATTATATCAAATGTGAGAGCAATTTTCACTTTTCTATTTGCCTTTCTTGTGCCCCACCGGCTAAAATCGTGCAGGACGGACGATTTAGTTGTAATGCTTTTAGATAAATTGGCGAGTTGAAGATTGCTAGACACATGCGCTGCTACTCCACGTGCAATGTGATATAGACTGCGCTTAAACAGCTGCATTCGGCGTGAAAGTAAATGCGTCCTGTACCTTCATGCGTTCATCATACGTTTCATGTAGTCCCATGCGGTTTTCTTGCACCACGACACCACGATTTATTCGAAACCGAAATCCCCTTCGACCATGCCTGAATTTATACGCTATTAAGGTTAGATCAGGTTAGATTTTGTTCGGACGCGGGAAATTGAGGTAAGTTTAATTTCCATGAAATTAGTAACATCAATTTTTGATTTATTAATACAAGAAAATAAATCTTTACTTATGTATCATCACAGCGTTTTATTTTATTAACTATTTTTATCGTAAACTTTTTATCATGTATAATATAATATACAGAGTGTTAGAAAAGTCTGGAAATGGTCAAATATCTCGAAAAAAACTCATTTTAGAAAAAAATGTTAAATACAAAAGTTGTTGAGTATCAAGTCATGCATTAGATGGGAATATGCGATTGACCTTGGGTGACGTCATGAAGGTCATGTCAAGGTCGACTTGAATTTTTTAAATGGGAACCCTTATTTTTTATTGCATATTCTTGTAGCTGACGTCAAGGCATTTTCGAAATACTATAATGAAGCATTGTTCCATTAAGTACTTTTCAAGTTATAAGGCTTGAAAGTTATGATAGAGTGTGAGAGAAAGAAGCGCGTTGCCGCATTCTCTTTCTCTCTCACTCTATCGTAACTTTCAACTCTCATAACTCGAAAAGTACTTAACGGAAAAATACTTCATTATAGTGTTTTGAAAAGTTCTCGAAGTAAGTTACAAGAATATGTAATGAAAAATGGGGGTTCCCATTTAAAAAATTCAAGTCGACCTTGACATGACCTTCACGACGGTTTTCAAGGTCAATCGCATATTCCCATCTAATACATTACTTGATATCCAACAACTTTCGGATTTAACAGTATTCTTTAAAATGAGTTTTTTTCAAGATATTTGACTGTTTCCAGACTTTTCTAACACCCTGTATATAATTTATTCTAACCCATACAGCACAAAACATTGCAGCAACATTGCGGCAATATTGCAATGTTTTTGCAATGTTGCTGGAATGTTGCAATATCGCCGCAATGTTGCTGCAATATTCTGTGCTGTATGGGAACCGCCAAAATAAGACCAATCAGATTTTGGCGCCGCGAATAAATGTTATTGCTTTCAATAGTTGGCAACACTAATCGTATGCACCAAATAATCAACATTTATTAATTTTTATAAATAAAAACTCAACAAAAATTAAAAATACAATAATAAGAATTTTTCCTTAATTCCTATTATTATATTTTTAATTTTTGTTGAGTTTTTATAGAAAAATAATTAGGAATAAGAATAAATATTAAATATTAGAAGTAGGAAATTGATATTATTTTATTTCAAAACAAGAAAATGAAATGGATTAACGTATGAATCAGGAAATAAGAATTAGAAATAATCCATTCCGTTCCCTTGTTTAAATTCCCTTGTTAAAATAATTTCAAATTGCTTTTCCTAATATTTAATATTTATTCTTATTCCTAATATTTTCTCTATTGTGCGTAGGGCCTAATTCAGCACGACATATTCAATAGCTAATTCTTAAGGTAGTTGTCTCATAAAATAAATTTTTTACAAATTGATTAAAATTTTCACTATATTTTTATTGAAATAACATCTAAAATGGTCCTGCAATAAAAAAAATTTACCGTTTAAAAGCTGAGATAATTGCAATTAGTATTTTTGATACATATTGCATACACCATACTAAGATTAACGTCATATTTTTAATTTTATCTTGAAAACTACATTTAAGACTTTAATGAAAAATAATGAGCATGCAGGAGACAGATATATGAACATTAAAAAAACAACATTATTGACCGTTTATTTCAACAATATAATCGTAAGAAGTATATAATTTTTAATATTTTTTATCAAATTTTGTCGATAAAAAACTCGAGTAGGATGTGGCAACAGCGTGCGTGTAGTATGATCAAACCCAACCAGAAGTTTACTCTAGCAAGACATTAATTTATTAACTACTTTTTAATTATTATTAAACTTTCGATTAATCTTTTTTAGTAAATTGTTCGTATAATAAATTAAATAATATGCAATGATATATCTAAACTTTATTATTTGAGTTTTTTTTTAATGAAAGGTTTAATTTTTAGATCATACTGTCGCAAGCGCAAGACAACTACCTAAGCGGTATCTCTAGATGGCATTAGTTTCATTAGTTGCATTTTGGCGCATATTATGAAATATGTCGACGCACAGAAATAAAGTTTATTTTATGAAAATATCCGATAATATTTATTTATACTTACATCTTTTCGAAAAGTTATTGATAATTACAACTAAATAATATTATAGTAAAGCTCTTTACAATTCTATATAAGCATATCTGAGCTATTTTTTTTAGTTTAATCGTTTATTTTAACAAAGTATAAATCTTAATGTTTTTTTTGTTTTTAATTTTTAATGTTTTGCAGAATATGATAAAATATAAACAAGTTATTTATACAAATATAATGATATTATAAATTATTCTTTGCAACAAAATAAACCCGTTTAACATATCGAATATTTTAATTAAATTAATTTATTTTATTTTATCTGTCACATGCATTGACACGAGTTATTAAAGTAAAACTGTGAAACGCTTGTGAAAACGAAAAATAATACAACACGAGATTTATTATTTCTCTGCGGGCAAATTTATTATAACTTTAAAAAAATTCAGCTTGCGTGTAACATGTATTTTTAGATAGTTTAAGATGTACATACAGACAAAAAATGTATATCACGAAAACCGTACCACGTCGACACAGAATTTCAGGTTGAAAGGTAAATCTATCGTACTAAACTGATACAAATGAATCTATTTACTCGTAATCTCGTAATGTCATAATTCCTTACAATACTAAGCATTTACATGTGCATTGCTGCGCGTATTTTAGCCGCACGATAAATGTGGCTATTTGATGCTCATTCTATTTTCACACATTGCTGTCTGCTTATGAAGTTATTTTAGAACACATTTTCTGACACTTCCAACACAATTTACGCTACTAAAAATGTATATCTTTGAAAAAAAATTTACGAGTATCTTTGAATCTCAAGTTATTTCCAAGAATGTAATTCCAATTTTTTATATCATAACTTCTTTCTCTACCGCTTTTCAAACTTTGTATGAATATAAAGAATTGCAAGTTTGATTTATTTGACACTTTTATACATTATTATTAATTTTATTGAACTTTATTGGGTAAGAATAACTAAAATTAAACAGCCACGTTTAGCGTTTAATATACGACAAAAATACGGGTCTCTGTGTTCCTGTTTTGGTCGGATGTAAAGACGCATATTATAAAAAACCAAAATATACATAGGCTCTCATTCATTCCTTTTTTTCCTTTCTCTCTCTTTCCCCCTCCCTCTCTCTCTCTCTCTCTCTCTCATTCACGTAACAGTAATACCATCAAAACAATCTTCTCATCTGTGTAAACAATTTATTTTACATAAAGGCAATTAATTTGACATCAAAAAAAGCGATAATAATGGCTCTAATGTATAATAATAAATAAAGTATGAAATATATATAAATGGGTATTTACAAGTACGTAAATGGCAAAAAAGCTATAACAGAGACGAAATAATTGTTGTTCTTCCGCAAATATATGAGCCGCTTGTCCTGAGAATGATGTCAGTTAATCCTGAAAGTTTCACTAAAATGCACCTACCACTTTACATTCACATCTTAATTAAATTCATTAGCCCATACACTCACTTCTATCCGTATCATCGCATTTAAATCGTTAAATATTATGAGAGAGTATCAAGACGCAGTGCTAAGTAATAACGCATAAAATTCTCGATAGTATTTAATGATAGCATAAAATGCAATTTTCAAAAAATGCACGAATAAAACTTGAAATTGGGCTACCGCATTTAGCACTAAACGCAGTCATATAATTCTCAGCCTACGGTAACATCATGTACAATCTTTATGTTACATAAAACAAAACTCAACAGTTACATTTGGCACTAAACGCGGGATGTGAATGTTATATTTTGCAATTAAACTCTGCATCGCTTTCAGAACGGACGGCTCGCATCTCGCGCGCATTTTACACGACGGATTTCCTGTCGCCTGTTCGTGAAAGATTGCACAGCTTATTCGAACGTTACACTAAACGTAACATCTGTACACTTAGAACCTATATCGCGTCTCCCGCGCGCGGTAAACAGGCGGCATGGAGATCCGACGCGAAGACACAGTATTACTAATTATATATCCAGCGTAAACGTCTATCTCATTAGAATAATTCGTCTATAATCAGAGATATTCAACCTGGAGTACTCTCGGAAGAACGTTTAAACAATCTGCGTTTTAGAAAAATTTGATTGCTAAAATCATTTTGTATGCAAAGTGTTTTCAAAATAAAAGACAAAAAAATTTTATTCATAAGTGCAACTTTGAACAATAATATAAAATATGAGAAGATACAAAAAAAAAGGTTTCTACAATAATTCCTTACGTAACAAAGCGATTTCGAAAGAATAAAAACGTGACAGAGAATCGAAGATCTAAAAAAATATGCCTTTTTTTCCTCAAAGAAGAGAATTATGCTATTAGGAAGGATTGAATACCACTGATCCGTATTATTTATATTTTACAGGGAGTACCATGATAGACCCGTGCGCGCCTCTGTGTCCCACTTGGAAAAATGGATTGACCATCTCGTGCACTAGATTGACTTACACTAAAGTAAATGCAACAATTTCGACCAAGCGTCGCGTAGGCGGCCTGAGAGATTCTGAGCCTCCTCTCGCGAAAATTCCCACAAAACCAAGATCGGCGGCTTCGATACCGGACAAGAGCATCGTACAGTGCGAATTCGGCACGAGATTATAATAAAATATCACAGTTCCGAGTCTCTGAAGAGTCGCTTCTGAAAATCATGGCTCTCCCTACATTTATGCTATGTGTCCGAGATAGTAAATTTCATTTTTTTTTTTAATCGTAAGACATCCTAGATAACAACAATCCTACACTCTACTAGAGTAAGATTACCTATTTCGGAAATCGTAACGTTTAATAGTATAATACGTAGTATCCATATACAACTCGCTAGGGATGCTGCAGACTGTGTTTACTGGCTACTAAATGTTCCAGGTGAATACTGTATGTACGCGCGTGTATATTGTGTGATGTGTGTGTGTGTGTGTGTACATGTTGTGTTGGGTGTGTGTGGCGCGCGCGCGCGTGTGAGTGTGTGTGATGTATACCTGGAAAAAGTTAAAAGACGACACGTAGACACGATGTGACGCACGCCGTGATGAATAGCAATCGGTTTCGGCGCTTGTCAAGAAAAAGAGACGAGACAATAATGTTTACTCTAAAAATCAGATTTACGGAAGAGTGATACATAATGCAAACCAGCTTAACACTTCGTGATCCACTGCTCTCCGAAACTGTCTGTTCGAAGACTATATCTATCACTGAAACAAAAAACGATTTCCAACCTCTTTTTGAAGTGATAGTGAATCTATTTTATACAAATCAGAATCTTTAAGAAAACAATTTCAAGATGAATCACTGAGTTGTCAAGAGAGTCGCGTAACAATCAAATATATCGCTATAATACTCGCATAAAATACATTAACATTACGTAGTAGAATAGAAGAAAAAGTACCTCACTGGACAGTAGATTCTTATACAGGTTCATGTAAATGTAAATGTTTCAATGAACATTTGCATTTTATAATATAGCTTCAATGATGTTAATATATTTTAGCCTATACAATTTGCAAATATCCATTACTTTTGCCGTATCGTCCGAGGGGGATCAGTCAATAAATTTCAAGTTAGTGAAAAATCTGTCATGGAAGTCTTTCAGATTTTACTTAAAAATCAAGAGTCTCAGATAGCAACACGCTATCTGAAAAAAAGAATTACAAATAAAACTAAATTTTAAACATTAATATTTTACTTGCAAAACATACAGACATTATCGATGATACAACCATTATCGATTAATATCATAATCAAGTCTTTAAAAAGTTATGTGTATATGTGAAAATTCTCTCTCAACATTTTTATATAACTTTCATCTTTAATTTTCTTCATCTTAACTTTATACCTCTCTTAACTTAGCCATGTTGTTATCTCTGACTCTTTGAATTCTGCTTTAAGAATTGTAAACGCACATGATGAACATTACCGATTATTCGTAATAAAAAAAATCTTCTATTACAATAATTCTCCCCCTCTTTGCTATTATAAGATATATAAAAATGAATGAATGTAATGGGATGAAGCTAAACGATAGTATACAGCGCTCCTTTTCCTCCAGTCATTCGGATGGTACAATTTACTCCTTCCCAGAGTCATATGCGTCAGTAACTCATCGGCTTCAACATTAAGAGATTATTGGCAAAAAGCTAATCCGGCGAAGATTCACCGCGCAAGTACAAAGAGTAGAAAAAATTGCGAGGAACGCAATTAGTTGGTCATAGCGTAAACATATTACAATCTAAATCGCATAATCTAAACACTTGTAAAAAAATGTCGCTTTACAGTGTCCTTATGAGACTAAAAAATCAAACAAAGGAGTGATTTGTACCACATGATGGGTGGAATATTTTTTTCGGTAATTAACTAATAAACAAACGCATTGTAAAAACGGCGTTGACAGTTAAAATATTTCGGAATATTTCGACAGATTGCACGTTTCAATATTGACGGCAACTGTATTCGGCCTTTTCGACATTACATATATCGATGGCGCAAAGCATTCAAGAACCTCCGATCACATGTCTCCTTAATATCTCAATATTTGTGACTAAATATTTACATCGATGCGTTTACAGCTTCAGTCTATTAAGCTTCTGAATCGCGGCTTCGGTTCACGACGACTCTTTCTTCTTCGCGATCCTTAAATCTAGCGTTAGCCTTAGCCGCGCTTGCTTCTCTACTGAGCAGGTGGTTGAGGCTCGCTGGATATATTGGGGTTTGGATACGGCAAAAAAGAATAGTTGGGATAAGGCGGCGGAGGATGCGGGAAGGGCGAGTAATAATTAGAAGGATGCGAGGAGGGAGGGGCGTATCCTCTATGCATGTACGGATCCGTCGGAGGTGGTGGACCATGGAACGCCGAGTACATGCGTGCATAATCCGTGTTGTAGCTCGGTCCACCGTATGCCGGATAACCTGGTGCTCCTGCGAAAAAATTTCATCGTTAATATTTCATCGATATAAAAAAAATTTTGCAAAATTTCGCTCTTTGATCTTATTTTACTTGAGAATATGACTAACCAGCTGGAGGATAGGCTGCGGAGGAACCAGGCGCCGGTGGGTAGTGTTGCGAATACGGGTCGTACGGACCCGGTGGATACGGGCCCGGGTAACGCGTGCTGGTAGGATGACTAAATGCAGTGGGTATATGAGTGGTATCGTCTCTACTCGAAGAGGCGACAGAGGTCACCGTGGTAGTCACTGCTGCCGTTTCTGTCCCTTTAGATTCCGTTGCGGAACTCGTAAGCGTTTTGGCAGTAATGCTCGGTACTTGGGGAGAGTAAGCTGTAGGCACGTTCATCACATTCCTCTCATCCATAGGCTTTCCTAAGTCCGGTTGAGGTTTCGTCGTGTCTACTGGCAGTCTGCTGCTGGGATTTGCTGTGTGCGGTGGAACGCTGGGAAAGTAAGTGTTGTAGGGATTCGACAGAGAGCGCGATCGCGGATCACTGTAGTCGTAGTACCTTGGGTACTGAGCATAGGGATAACCTTGTGGAACACTCGGCATCGGATCACCTTGAACCACGTTGTCCCGCATGCTCGGAGTTGATTCGGCGCTTTTTGGAGAAGTAATATTGGTGCTCGTGCACACAGAGGCAGTCGATGACACGACGATGGGCGATTCGACAATACTTTTGGGTGTTTCCGGACCCCTGATAGATGCAGATGGTATTGGCATACTTGACGGTACCGACATGCTTGATAGCACCGGCATGCTCGACGTCACCGGCATGTTTGATGGCACCGATATATTCGATGGTACTGGCATACTCGGTGGAATTGGTATATTCGATGATATGCTGGATGGCACCGGTACACTGGACGGCATGTTCGATGGTATCGGCATGTTTGATGACATAACCGACGGTACCGGTTGCGGTGTTAATAAAGATGACATCGACCCGGGAATAGCTGCGTGCGTCTGCGGTATTGTGGTTTGTGGTGTCGCTTGCGATGGTATCTGCGATGGTGCCTGCGATGGTGCTTGCGATGGTGCCTGCGATGTTACTTGCGATGTTACTTGCGATGTCATCTGCGGTGTCATCTGTGACGTCATCTGCGTCGTCATCGGCTCCTCAATGATGATGTCATCGCTAGTAGTGTCTCGCTTTTCCGTTTGACTATGGAAAGGCCGACTACAGTTTGGCAGCTCATCTGACTTAGAAGATTCCTTCTCTGGCAGTGAACACTGTTTATCAGCGATTGGCGGCAATTCCGTTTCAGACTGGTCATGTTGTGTTTGAATGCTTTGCGTTAAAGAACCATTATCAGGCGTGTAAACTTGAGTGCCTTCCTCGGAAGATTTCGGTAGAGACGTGTCCGTGTCTGAATTAGTGGTTCGAGTGTGATTAGATGGACTGTATTCAGGATTCGAACTCACTTCAGCCACTACGTCCTCCAATCTGACTTCCTCGACTCGTTGCTCAGTTCTCACTTGACTATCAGATGAGTTGGAGTTGTCTCCGAGCGTGGAATGATCCACCGGTTCTTGCTTAACTTTCGATAACCTCGACAGAGAAACTTGATTAGTCAAGTTTACTTGACTCAGATAAGGTTTAGCGGCCGCAGTGACCGGTTTGGATCTCTTGGAAATTTCCTTGTCGCTAAATGGCTTGTAACCCGGGCCCGGGGATGGTTTATTGAGAGGTCGGCTGGTTTGGTTATTCGATGATGATTTAGGTATTATAGAAATGGCAGAATTATTTCGCAAAGGAAAGCCAACCTCGGGCTTGGAATTTCTCTGTATCATTGATGAAACGCCTGTAAAATATCAAATTTTCTATTTAACAGGTCGTTCTTAAATGACAGAATAATCAAGATTAAGCATACATTAACGAAAGCAATATATTTATTCACCTTTCTTTGGTTCTTCCTCGCGCTTCTGCTGATTTAACTTGAGCGCAGTGCGAATCGCTATAATTTTGCCAGACTCGAGCTGCATGTAAATGCCTTTCGGACTCTTTAACACCATCACCCGTTGACCTGCTTTTAGAACAATACTTCCTTTGTCCGGAGAATTGGTCGGAATAACCACATCCAAAGGTAACGTCATCTCTTGGGCGCTCATTCCTTGCCTTTGCCACACTTCCGCTGGTATCCACCTACTACCAGTCACACCTCTTGGACCTAATCCTTCAGCGCCTCGCTGTTGCATCGGTCTGACAGATGCAACAGGTTTAGGTGTGGTACCTCCATCACCACCACGAATCGCTCTGATCTGTAATCCGCCTGCTAAAAAAGCAAACGATATAAGTTGATTCAAATTCAAAACAGTTAAAAGAGAGTAAATAAGAATTATAATTATATATTCATAAACCTCTATTAAAAACTAAAAGTTTCTTGCTTTTTTCGTAAATATAAACTGTACCTCGCGCGGCTGTATTGCCCGGGACATAATTATAACTCGGTCTCGAACAATTGGCTGCCATTTTCTCAAGCTCATAACCACGACGAGCCAGTCGTTTCTCAGCTTGACTGAGTTTTTTATCCTTTCGATCAACGAGTAAGCTTTCGTGGTGAAATGGTTGTTTAGTAAGTAAAGAAGAATACCGTTCCAGCACACAGTGCATAACCTCATCTGTGTAGCTATCCTTAATCTGTGAGAAATCTTGCACTTGACTGTCTTCCTCCCAATCCCATGATAATGTCGTTGCTTCCTTCAGTGAAAGATGTGCATCAGGATTACACTGATCAACTACGCGATCTGCCATGCCTTGTTTGCTGATCTGTCGATCGTAGATCTTCCTCTCCAAACAATTATCAGTGACTAATCGATAAACAAAACATGGCTTTTGCTGGCCGTATCTGTATACTCTACACACAGCTTGCGTGTCATGGCAAGGATTCCAAGAAGCATCGAATACGATCGCGCGATTTGCACCGACAAGGTTGATACCCAGCGAACCTGCTCGAGTCGAAACAAGAAATAAATGTATCTTTGGATTATTGTTGAATTCATTGATCAATTTCTCTCGCTCTAATGCACTGGTGCTTCCATCCAGTCTATAATAATTCACATTCTTGATCCAGGCGTCAATTTGTCCGTTCGGATGTTTTAAACTGTTTCGTGCTAAAAAGTCCTCTATGAGATTCAATGTAAACAAGGATTGTGAGAAGGCAAGCACACGATCTCCCAGTGTAATAGCTTCGTCGAGAATACAGAAAAAAAGCGTCATTTTTCCAGATGCATCTATCAATCCAGGTACATAGCCTTTCATCAATTCCGTCGCCTGTAACAATATCCAGATATTAGAAAAGGTTATTGCTCGAATATAAAATGGTTAATCAAATCAAAAACACGCACTGTATATTTTATTATTAATTTAGAAAATAACTTTTAGCATACCCAATCATACGGAATTCCAGGATCTTCTTTTCCATTGGGAGAACTCTTGCAATCCTTTTCCTCGTCTTTTGTGAGAACGTCGTCGTCAGATTTCTCTTCTTTATCCTTCTCCAGTTGATCTTCTTTTTCTTTTTCATCCTCCTTCGACAATTCACCCTGATTCAACCGCGGACTGTGCATCGAATTAATCCCTTGACCCGGTCTTGGTGCAGAAGTCGCCGAATTCTGGCGATTCGGATCCGCGTTGTAGTTCGGCGCGCCCGCGATATTATTCTGATGCATCGGTTGACTCTGCACACCGATGCTGGATGTCATGTCTTTGCTGCTCTTGTCGCACGATCCACCAGACTGCTGTGATGCTTTCGTCTCGTCAGGTCGCGTATTCATGTCTGAACCATGACCGGTTGCGTACTCGTACGATTGATTCGGATAATTCTGCGGAGGAAAGTAATTATTCTGATAACGATTCACACCGGGATTGATCTGATCCCTGTAGTATGAATCGTTACATTGCTGATCTGGTCGGAACGCCTGCGGATAATTACGTTGCCAGTAAGGATCGTCCGTGCTCTTCATCTGTCCGACCGTCGTTGGATTCTGATGCGAGTTGTCTGACGGATAATTCGGCATAACCGGATTCTGCGTTTGCGGTTGGTTGCTTGCGGCGTAATTATTGCCGGAATTGCTCGCAGAACTTGCACTTGTACGTTCGTTGGAAAATTCGTTCGCGGTTGGAGCGTAACCTTGCTGCGACACCGCAGCGTCCGGCCTAGGATACACTTGATCATTCTGTCCTAACGACGAATTGGATTGCTGCTGATTCGATGAATATGCTACAGATTGATTTTGAGCTACTTGCGTCTGCTGCGCGGCACCATATCGATGAGCGGGGGTCTGCGGCATCGCACCTGTGCCCGGATGATTCGACGGATAACCAGAGTGCGTCTGGTTAGACGGAGGCGCCGACTGATTAGGAGTTGCGACTTGGGGCGCCATGTGATGGCCGTATCCGTGAACTGCGTTCTGCGGGTTCGTCGCTGGGCTTTGCTGATCCGGAGGATATCTATGCGTCTGATTCTGTGCGTTAACATTCTGTGCGGATTGATTGGTCGAATAACTGGGCTGGTTTTGCGGTATGCTCATTTGAGTCTGCGATGTCGGAGTATAGCGCATCGTGCCTTGCTGCATAGGCCCTTGACTCGACTGATTCGACTGCATGTAACCGTGAGACTGAGCTTGCGGTATGGGCGCCGATTGTTGATTAAACACATGCGGAGTTTGCGCGGGATTTGGAGTTGGATTCACCTGCGTCGAATAGCTGTGCGGTTGGCCTTGAAGAGGCAAATTCTGAGACTGCTGGCCGGCATATGTGTGAGACTGATTCTGTAAACTCAAGTTCTGATTCTGTTGATTCGGGGAGAAGCCTCGATTTTGTGCCGGTGGTGGATTCTGACTCTGCTGCGGCGGCATGTAACCGGAGGTCGGAGCTTGAGTCGCTGGAGACTGACCCTGCTGAGGCGCGGGATATCCCATCGTCGAGTTCTGCAGCGGTTGCGCGTCATTTCGTTGATACGGATTTGTCTGAGCTGACGCTGGCGAGTAGGTTTGATTTTGATTCGCAGCGTACGACGAGTAATCCTGCATCGGCATATTCGCAGACTGATTCGGCATTTGAGTTTGAAAAGAGGGCTGGTTAGAAACTTGCTGAGGATAATTGCTAGGCCCTTGATTTAAATTCGGCGTATAATTGCGCTGCTGATCCTGATAAGGATAGTTTTGCCTTGGAAACATACCAGATGTTTCGTAGTTGTTCCCTTGATTTTGATCCGATCTGAAATCAGATGGAGCTGACGCGCCGCTATACCTCTGAGGATGATTCGCGGACTGCTCATTCGACTGCATGTAATTCTGCGATTGATTGTTGTATCCCTGCGACGTATTATAGCTCGATGTCTGAGTATACGATTGAAACGATTGGTTATTGTATCGCTGCTGTCCTTGATTATTATAGAATTCTCCGTGATTATATTCCCCGTGGTTGTTATTATCATTCCTATAGTATGTGTTTTGATCGTTCGGACGGTAATTTTGATAACTGTGAGGAGGATAAGAGGATCCCTGTGGCATGGAATTAGAGTATCCGGAATTGGAGACCGGCATTGGATAATTGGTATAATTATTTTGCTTTGAAGTGTTGTGCGCATTTTCGGTTTCTGTGTTATCATTGCTAGACGACGAGGAAGCATTCGGTTGTACACTAGCCGCAGGTTTGTTTTTGATTGTCGTGCCTGTCTTCTTGCCCTTCTTAGATTCCCCCTTCGGCTGGCGCGCTTTAGATCTCTTGCCACCCGGCGTGGACTTCTCCCCAATCGTTTCCTCCAGATCTAAATCATCCTCCTCGTTTGCCTGACGTTTGCGAAGGAAATGATACAGGATATCCGGATGATTCCAGATTTTGCAACATACAGCGAATGCTTTCAACGGGTTCGGTACCGCGCGTGTTTTCACCACCTGATTCATGAACGTATCGTACAGCTTGCGCTGATGAGGCGTCATTCTAACGAGAAGAATGTACTCTTCTTTGCGCGGCAAGGACATTTGTAACACAGAGTGAGATCTTCTCTGCACAAAACCTTCCAATAGAGCGTGCAACACGTGAGCACGGTAACGCATTAAGCGTATATCTTGCGGCGTAGAATCGATACACTGGCCGTTTTGTATCGGTCTCTCAAACATGTTGCAAAACTCACTCTTGGTGCCCAAATAATTTGGCCTCACGAAGTCCACCATGCACCAGTATTCCAGGAGATTGTTCTGCAGTGGATAGCCGGTCAACACAATCCTGCGTTTTGTGCGCATTTGCTTCAACGCCATGCTGATGCTAGCGTGCGAGTTTTTAATCCGATGACCCTCGTCGCAAATAACTAGATCCGGGCCTGGGCTCACCAAAGCCACATGCATCTCATCCAGCAAACCTTTGTTCTTATCCTCCTCTTCTACGTCCACAGTGTCTTTAAAGGGCTGACCGCGTTTCCGTTTCGCTTTGTTGGGTTTCTTCAAAGACAACTGTCTGTACAATTCGTAGCCTATCAATAGTACACCGCCGGTCGACTGCCACTCGTGAATTACCTTCGCCCTCGCCGTCATAGTTTTGTGTGAATCGTTCAGAATGTGCAGACGGAAATGCCTCGGGCGTACTTCCATGCCGACGGGCGCATCCACGCTGTACGGTGTTTTCACTTTCTCCACCTTCTCCTTCTTTTCCTCCACTAACTCCTGCTTCATTGCGCTCTCTTCTTTCTTGATCATCTCCTCCGGCTCTTTCTTCACATTTATCTCCGCATTCTGAGACGGCATTGTTGTCCCTGGCAACATATTTTCCTTTTTCGGTTCATGTTCTGATTCTTGTCGATTAGTTTGACTGCCGTAACTCGCAAAAGTGCCCGAAGCGTTGCCGTAATTCGGGTACATCGGAGAATGGTGATTGCTCATAGGTGGATATATCGCCGTGGCATTTCGATTCTCCATGTCGGCATACATAGGACCACCTTGCAGTCGATTTTCCATGCCGGGATACATAACGCCGGTGACCTGATTCTCCATGCTAAATTTTGACGGCGTCATGTTTTGTCCAGTCGGCATGCTGTGACAGTTGACCGAATCCAGTTTCATCGTCGAGTCGGGGAAGTTGGAAAGCGGATTCGGATTCGCGCTGTACAACGGATTCTGCGATATTTCGCTCTGATGATAATTCGGCGGCATATGCGGCGCGTGCGATTCGGCCATATTTTTGTTCATCATAGTAGGATCGTGCATGTAACCCATCATGCCGCGCGCCTCATAGCCATGATGAGAATTTGCATAGGAATTGTCTGACATGACATTCATTGATTGTTGCGACACGAATGTCGCGGCTCCCGCGTTTTCCTGACCAAAACGATGTGCGGATTCTGTGCTGATAGGCCGCGACATATTAGATATGTCGCTCTGACTGCCCTCCTCCTTTATCTCGTGCTTCATATCCATTCCGGGCTCCACCTTGACATTTGTAGCTTTAGATTGCTTCTCGGCGATAGTAGCAGAATCTTCATACGGCAACCACATGTTAAATTCCGCCAACCAGTTCTGGAGCGTGTTTATAGGCATGATGCAAAGAACGGTTTTGGCAGTGGTACATCGAAAAAAAACGTCACAGAAGCTGGCAACCTGAAGAGTCTTCCCCAAGCCCATACTGTGGGCAAGGATGCAGCCGAAGCCGCTGCTGGTATCGTACCTCTCGATGGTTTCGATAATGTTGTCGAAAAGGAAGCGTATCCCGCCGATTTGATGCGGCTTGATAATGCGGGCTACCTGCGGCGCTAGAAACACGTCCGGCTCGGTCTCAGGATGACCTACATTGATTAACACCCGACCGTGCTCGTCTGGAATGTTGTATCGATCATTGGTGTGCATACCAGAATTGGATGGATCGTCCTCGTTGTCGGTCTCCTCCTCGCCACTGTGATCGCTCAGGACTATACAGTCGTCGTCCGAGCTCTCGCTCGAGCTGGATATCGTTACCACGTCCTTGCCCTTAGGCGACCTCTGATACTTGGATACGCTGGGCGTCTTTCGCGGCATGAGCACCTGCTTCTCGTTACGCAATGCAATATCTTCAGTTTCCAAGTCGGACATCTCGGAATCGGAATAGTATTCCACTCGGTCTATCGGTTCTTTTTTAGGCATTACCGGAGATATGCTTACGGATGGTGTCATCATACGAAACTTGGCAGCATGCTGCAGCATATTGGGCGCGCTCGAGCGATTTGGAATACGCGAGATGGATGTCTGCGCTCCCTGGTAACCACCTCTGCCTTTCTGCCAACGCATCGCACCTTCCACCGATCTCCTCTGTATCTGCCCCGCTTGCATCCCACCGGTTGTCTGAGTGGTCTGAGCACCAGTACCTGAACCAGAGTTCACCTTCAGGAGCACAGTATTTGGCAAACGAACTTGGGCAGATGACATCGTCGACGACGGCATCGACGATGACGGGGAAGACGACTGTGAAATCGTAGTGCCAGCTTGGTTTTGCTTGCCCTGCAAGAGACTAATAACGCGTGTCTGCGCCTTATTATTCTGTCGGTTGATTGCTATCTGACGCTGCACCTCGCGGATAATCCTCTGTTGCTCCTGCACTCGCCTGAGGCGCTCCATTTCCTGCCTCTGGGCGGACAATGTAGCCTCGTCCAGTTGCGTCTCATCCATCACCTCCCGAATATTCCTTCGCATGTTGGCCAGCTTCTTTTCCGACTTTAGCTCGCACTCCGATGTGCTGCTCTCGCTAGTGCCATCCTCTTTCTTCGCTTTTTTCTTCGCGCTATCAGGATGCTCAGAATCAGCATGTCTCTTGTTACTATCAGTGCTTCCCTCTCCCGCAGACTGTTCATCCGCCTTCTCGTTTTCATTATCCATACTTTCCTCATCTTCCGAATCTTTCGATATCGGCTTCCCTAGTAAGTCAGCTTCGGACACTTCTTGGCCTTCTATGGGCGCTCCTTTTAATAGTAAAAGAATAAAATCGTTAAAGTACAAAGATAATATAATAACAATAATTTTCGTGTTCGTAATTAAATCATAATTTTTTTATATTATACTATATCACAAGTTATACATACTATATATAGAAAAGATATAATAAAAGATAAGTTTAATTTTTTTTATAGTTTACACTAAAGAATAAAACTGAGCACAAATTTTTGGAAAAATTCAATATTAATTCAAATATATAATTCATTATAACACATTAATTATTAGCTGAATTAATTTAATTACAACAAAAATGGATCAACTGAAATAGAATTCTAGAAATTTAGAATAATCTAAATCTAATTGGAATTATTAATATAAAACTGCAAAATTAATTTGCTGTAAAAAATAATTTAAAGAATCATCAATTTTATCATGCATGTTTTATTATTATATATATTTGTTTTAGTTTCAGTATATTCAGGATATAATACAAAGAGTATACAAGCTATTTAATATCAATGTTTTTCGACAAACCTTCCAGTGGTAAAGTGTCTAGAATATTAACTTGTTCTTCGTCATCCTCTTCTTGAGATGGATGCTGTTGCCTTTCTGATTCTACTCTCACACCAATCTGTGAATCAATTGTCTCATCTAAATCCATATCATCTCCTGAACCCTCAGAACGTATCTCTTCTATCTCTTCAGACTGCAAAGCATCGATTTTCTTCTCTTGCTCTCCATCTGTCGTTTCGCCACTTGACTCATCCGAACTCTCATCATTAGTCACCTGTGATTCGGCGTTCAAATTTGCATTTGTCCCAATCTCATTCGACATCATATTTGTTTCACTGGACTTGGGACCACCACGAGGAGTCACACGTTCAATTGTGACATCCCCAATGCGTGTCAGAAAGCTATCCAGACTGTTAGACATGGTGCGCACTGTCCATTAAATCACGTGTTCTTTATTGATGTATGATCCTCATGGAATGTCTCGACGCTTTTAAACGCACCAGTAGCATCTATTCACTTAGCATTTACATTGCTGAATCGTCATTCAATATGTTTCCTTTCCTATAACAATATACATATATACATTTTTTTACTATCTGTTATCTTATCTTATGAATGTACAGGTTAAAAACTGTTATTTTGATAAGAAGATAACATGCTAAACAGTGTCATCATAGTCTTTACAAATACATGAAAATAAAACATTCCAATATTATCAATACTTGATAAAAGAAAACTAAAACTCTTAAAACAATAAAGAAGATTCCAATTCTTAACTAAACTTGATGTAATTTTATTAATTAATATAAAGATAAAGGTAAAAACTCCATATATAAGTATATAAAATTCTAAAAAAATATATATATATATTTTATATGTATAATTAAGAAATGTATAATAATAACCTTACATAAATATGCAATAAACTTTACAAAGTAAATGCTTTTATCAATAGACTGAGAAAGCACTCGGGCAATTTAATTTATCTAGTATTCTGTTTATAAACGAAACATTATACACTATAAAATATTTTGAACTATTACACACATCTCATAATATGCAAAATAAAATAATTTACTGGCTTAAGAAAGTATGCAATAAATCTATTTAGTACTCTTTACAGAGTGCTTTATGTATTAGACATGAAAATAACCTCATGGCAAAAATCTTGAAAATCTTTCAGTATATTTAGACAATTACTTGGCTAACTCATCAAAAAGTCCAAAAAAAATCAGATATTTACTAACAATACAAACTTAACTTGTAACTCAAATTAACATGTAACTTTTTTATAGAATCTTTCTAGAAGCACCGTGTTTTGAGAAAAGCATATAGTACAGACAAAATACACTTACAACTTCCTATATTCAATAGAATGTCTTCTCATAACTTCCTACCAAAAAGTGATTGATCACATGGTTTATTGAACAGTAGGCTCAATCTAAATGCAGAATCTTGTGCAGATAAGCTCAATAACCAGAGCATTCCGTTTGTATACTATCTGCATATACTGTTCAAAATAATTTACAGTGATGATGATAATTGTTAAACGTGGAGTACAACAGTAGGAAGGATTGAGGAAGAAGGATAAAAGGATAGACCAAAACGTTTGTTTATGTCGTTGTTTATGCGACAAAGTCTGATAGTTGACGTCGTCCCTTATCACCGTCGTCGTAAACGCGTCCCGGCGTTCTTCTCTCTCTCTCTCTCTCGCTCTCTAGCCTTCTTGATCGGCCGTCTGATCGGCGATCACGCGCGCACGACAGACGCCATGGCCGGTCGTCGTGTTTGATCTTTTGCGTTTTTCGTAGCTGAACAATGTTGTGATGTCGTTTCCTCGCGCCAAGCAAACTCGGTCCACGTCAGAAACAACCGAAGAGAAATCTCTGATTGCGCGTCGTGGCTGCAGCGCGCTGTATCGCACCTCACCTCACCTTGCTACACCGCACCGCGCTACACCGCACCGCACCACAATCGCGTACCACGTACACTTAGGTTAATGTCAAATGCCTCGGTGGACGCGTGCACTCACTTTCGAGCTAACTCCGGAGAATCGATCCTCGCTCCTCACGCGAGTATTCCGCGCGAAGCGTCGGTGGTCGTCACGGCACCCCGCGGCATTTTTTTTCTCACGCGCTCCAACCCGACAGCGTATTCCGCTCGGCGAACGCCATCTTGACTGCACCACCATCGTCGTATATCCGCTGAAAATCAACGAATCCGCTGCGAACGTTTGCAAGAATGGTGATAGGTTTGGAACACGGGTGTCACGTTTGGAAACATTTAGAAATATTGCGCGAAAAAAAAAATAAATGTACGATTAGAGTAGGGCATTGATCATGTAATTTTTCCCTAGAAGCGGAAATGTGATAAGTAAAAATTTCACATGTGAATTCGACGAATAGAATTGTTGATTCACATAAAAGTTTTCATTTTCCACATTTTCACTCCAAGAGAAAAATTACATGATCGATGCCCAGGAATTTGAGGTGATTCATATTAGTCATGGATGATAATCATAAAAATAAAAATCTAAAATTTGTTTGATAAAAATGAGGAAAGGCATTTTTCGAAGGACTAATAAGAGATAACATTTTCAAACATGATTTCTGAATGTTCTATAACACGATTCATGACAGGATCATTTATTGTGAAATGATAGAATTGCTGTATATCGCAATGTTGTACATCACGAATAATGTATATCACAAAATTTTCTAATCTTTATCTATTGCCTTCAATGGTTTTTTTTAAAATCATGTTTAGAAATTTTTAATAAAACTATTCCATTTTTTTCAATAGCTCAATTGCCAACAGAAATTAAATTTACATTATATTTATTCAATACTTTTACTAAAATTGTATTGTAAAATTGTGAAGATTTTCAATAAAATTTTGAAATTTTTTATTTGTGATAATTTAATAGAATATTTGTTTTTACATTATTAAAATTTGGTATCATTTGAAACAAGATATATGTACAATATATACTACAAATATATTTGTGTAAAAACTTATATATTAAAGTGATTACATATACTAAAAATAACCAAATATATAAGTGTAATCAAAAATAAAATTATATATCATGATAGAATGAGATCTTATAAAAATTTAGAGTTATAGGCTGTATTTTTAATACTATGTGCTAAATGCAACTACATAAAATTACAACTGATCTTATATCGTTTTTTAAAGATCAAGATCATCTTTTACTGAAATAGTATACTGTGTACATCAAATACAAACACAGTTTTGTAAGCGAATAGTCACATTTAGCAATATGTTTAAGAATCTGTACAAGTACTGACAAAATAGTTTATATTTATAAAATTAAAAAATATGAATAATAATCTTAAAAAAGTATTGAGAACTTCTTCACATATAAATGTAGAAATCTTATATAAATGCAATAATTGATAAAATCTTTAATTGGCACTCTCACAAGCATCAATCCAGTCATTGTACACATCTAAAGGTTCTGATAGTAAATTTATCGTAGTCTGAAAATCTTCCAAGCACACTCTGCAGGTTATCCTGGCAGTACTCCTTGACTTGTCCCTGATATCATACAGACAATAGTTACAAGAAAAATCAACACAGATATTTAATTAACAAATATTACTTTATTTCAATTCTTTAGGTTAAAAGATTAACCTGCTTTAACAATTTGGTTAATAAAGTTCAAATAATTAAACTAAAAAGTTAACACAAATCAATAAATAACAATCGACGTTACTTTGTTATCAAGATAACAAAAAATTTTGATTTAGCTTATCGCGTTAATGCTATATAATAAAACATTCAAATGCTATAAAAATAATTTTATCAACTTTTGCAGTATACCTACATCTTAACCTCACACGATTTCTCGTGATTGCAAAATGGACAATTGAATTGCGTGTCCAACGGTTGAATAGCTTTCTTTTTGCTAGGTGGTTTTCGCTTGCTCTTACGTCGGCCCATCTCGTTTTGATTAAAACTATAAGTACTTGAACCGAAATTTTACAAAATACTTAACAGTTTATTTGCAGTTTTCTTATTAAATTGTTTTTAATTAGGTTAAGTTATATTAGATTAAAGGTTATGTTTAGGACGCGACACATAAAAGGTTTGTTCAGGTTTGTTCTTTAAGGTACAATTTCATGCAGCGAAGCTTTGCTGGCGAAGTTCCCCCACTCCGCCGAAAACGAAGCAGCGTTTAAACCACGGTGTAAGGCCGGCGTCACATAGAACCCGTAATCCGTAATCCGCACCGAAAGTCCGCAAAAGTTACTAGGGATTGCGTCCGTAACGTTACGTGTGTTTTATCTCCTTGTGTCCCATGTAGCCGTAATTCCATGAAATTTCCGTAAAAGTTACTAAAAGTTACTAGTTATTACTAGTAATGCTTTTTTTAATTTTATTTATTTAACTAAATTTGACGATTTAATTAAAATTTTTGTTAAAATTATAATATATTCTGTAGTTTTCTTATGAATAAAATACAAATAAACAATTATAATCTGTTAAATAAAAAATAGTAATACCGTTACGTGTGTATTTACGGCTCCATGGGACACAAGGAGAAAAAACACACGTATGGCCGGTTTATGCTTCGGTCTTAATCTTAATCTTAAAGCCGAGAGCACAAGCTTTTACATAAAGCATAACGCATAAGCATAAAGGAAATTGATTGGTCTATATATAAGCATAAGCAAATGCATAAGG